TAGAACACGGGCGGGCGGTGCACCGAGCCACCGCGGCGCTTTTTCGGCGCCGCCTATTTTGGTGGCGTCGCGACGCCGCGCCATACACCCGCCACGCCCCGCCACCCTCACGAGCCGACCCAGCCCGGCCCGGGACCCGCCCGCCACCCGAACAACAAGGAGCATCCACCTGTCCTTCACTTGTTGCATACATTCATAGAGGATTGCCGAGTGAGGCCCGCAAAGCGAACCGCCTCGGCTTCCCTCCCGGCCTCTGCGCTACCTACCGGCCCTGGGCCGCGCCTCTGCCCCGCCCAGCTAGTAGTGGCCGGGCAAGACGAGGCCGGGCCGAGGCCGGGCCGAGGCCGCGCAGGGACCTCCGGCCCGCAGGCACGGCGGCGTTGGTGCTGGAGCGGGTCTCCCGGTCCCAGTCCCGGTCCGACCCAGCCCGACCCGACTCCAGCTCCAGCGAAGCTTTCAGCCCCGGCCCGGCTGCCCAGGCCGACAAGCTCCCCCTCGCCCACCTCACCCTCACCCCCTCGCTCGGAGTCCGAGCCCCGACAATGGCCGCCACGCCGAGCCGGCTGGGGCCCGGCCCGACCCCTCCCTCCTCCGCCCTCTCCTCCTCCTCTTCCACCTCACTCTCTGGGGCTGCCAGAAGAGACGAGCCGAGCCGGGCGAGCGGGCGAGTCGGGGCCTAGCCGGGGCCCGCGACCGGGCCGCAGGGCGGGCAGAGCCGAGCCAGGCCCCGGCCGGCTCTGTGCTTTCCTCTCGTCACGGGAGAGGCGGGGGGAGGGGGAATCGATAGAGGTGGAGGGGGCGCAGCAGGAACGGAGTATGAAGTGTCGACCCTATCCCGCGCGGACGGCCGGCCCAAGCGCGACGCCGTTTCACTTTATGCAGCACAGGGACGATAACAACGAACGATGGGTAGGATTCAAGACCAAGGCGGGAAGGGAAGGGAAAGGAAAGGAGGGAAATGCCAAATGGGCGGGAAAAGAGAGGGATTTTGAATCGTCCGTTTTTACTCGCGGTACGAAAGGGTTTCCAACTCGGGAATATTAATGCAAAAAAAAGTAAACCTCCCAGTTATTAAAGTCTGACACCCATCCAACGCAACCTCTCCCGTGTAAATGCCAAGTGTGAGTATTCATAACCCGCGCATCCCCGAAAATACTACGCTGAAAACTTTGCACTGGCCTTTTCCTGCATAATTGGTGCGCAATCCCCACCAACTCCTTTCCCCCCCTTATAACCCCGTTGCGGAGACAGTCCATACCGTCTCCGTTTGTCAATTCCCTCCAATTTGAACAGTCACTTGTTCACCACCAGGTTGGGAGGTAGAAGAGGGGGTAGAGGCATCTTAAGGAGGGTGGTTGGAGGGGGTGGCGGGTCAGGTACGGAGCGGCCCGACCCGGGGATGTGACGGGAGAGGGGGGGGGGAGCAGCCCCGGGGAAAGTGCGGCGTCCGTGCTAGGGGGTGCACGCGCTCTCATTCCCTCTGCCCCTCTTTGCTGCTTTCGGTGTGCCCCCCGTTCTCTCTCACACACACGCGCTCCCGCATTGCTCTCTGGGATGGCCGGGACGAAGCCAGCCCTGCGCGAGGCTACACGGTGCCAAGTGGGTTCCACGCGAGGCTAGGGTATGAGCGCCCCTCGAGGCTCCCGCCTGACTGGCCTGCCTGCCAGAGGGAAGGCCATAGGCCCGGCCGGCCAGGCGAGGCAGAGTCGACAATGTACGCAGAGCACAGGACGTAACGCGGGGACGGGGCGCGCGGCGTAGGGGAAGTCCAAGATCACTTTCCATCAGTGCCCATACAAGACTCATTTCAAAGTGGACTTTTTACAGTTAAGTTTTCATAGAAAACTGTTCACACAATTCTGGCATGTTAAGTATTAATTTAAAAATCATAGTGAGCTTGGAATTGTTGAGTATCTTTCAACAAGGCCCACTTAAGTAAGGGAGTGGACGCATTGGTAGAGCGTGTTAATTTTCATTATATAATTATTCAATAATTGTTAGGTGAATGAGTCAAATTGAAAAATTGAAATAAACTGACAAGAACGGCTCAGTGAGAAAGATCTGAACTGTTTTTGAATCAAAATAAAAGGATTTATTCGCAACTCCACACCACCCCCCGCATCTTGAGAGATGAGAGCGCTGGTTGGGGGGTTGGAGTTTGGAGGTTGAGGGCTAGAGGTTGATGGAAGGGGATGGGGATCAGGGATTTGGGGTTGGGAGGGTGGGGGTGAGGGAATAAGGGGGTGGTTGAGAGGATGGTTGAGAAGGTGGGTGAATGAAAGGGTGGGAGAGGGTGAGGGGGTGGTTGTGGGGGACTGTTTGGGAACGGACATGGGGCGGGGGGATGGTCCCCTCGTAGTGAGTCCCCTGGTCCGGGCCGGGTACAACACAAATTCGCAGATGGAAGAACGAGTACTAGGCAAGGGAGAGAGAGATGGAGCAAACGGGTCATAAAATCGCCTTTGAGAACCACCCAGGCAAAATTAAAGCCGTATATGAGCAGGCAAATTTCCATTAACTTATACCAGGAGCCTGATTTACCCCGCAGTTCTGTATTTATACTGTAGCTCATGCAGGCGTGTGGGCGGGTTGCCTATCCGGTCGGGGTCGCAAGGTACTGTGTCGGCGCCGTGGTCAGCGACGGTAGGCAAACCCGCCCGCGCGCATGCATGCGGTACAGTATAACTGCAAAAGTGCGGAGGGTTAATCAATGAGGCGTCGTTTTTAATCCAGAGCTATTTACCGATATTTGGTGATGTGCACATGGCAGCGGATAGCACCACCGTGGCTGCGGGCCTCCCTAGGCAGGCCGCCGGCAGCGCAACTAGTTATCACCAGAGGACTAACGAGGATAGTCCCGGTCCCTGTGGACTTCCCCCAACCACAAGCCCCGTCAACACCAGGGGGACGCTCCGGTGCATCGTCTTCGACATCACCTAGTGCCCGGTCCAGGCCACAGCCGCTCCCGCCCGTCCCCCTCTCCTCGGGGCCATGAGCATTCCAGCGACATGGGCGTCGTCCGGCGCGTCCGGCTCGGTCTGCCTGGTCGAGCTTAGAGTCCTACAGGACTCTAGTCGAGCTGGGCCGGGCGTCGAACCACGACACGAAGATGTGGTTCTCATACCTGAGCAACGCACCTCATGCTGCTTGGGGAGGAGGAAGGAGGGACCTGGCCCTCTCCCTTCCACGCTTCCGAACAACCGAAGACGCGTTCGAATGAGGTGCGGGCCGAGCGCACGGGTACGTGGCCCGTCGGCGGACGAGGATGGTGGCTTCTCGCTTCGGAAACAGCCCTATGTTGTCTCGGCTCCGGCGCGGGTCCGGCCGCCCGGAGAAGCCGGAGGCCCGGGACTTTCTCGGACGTGACGTCTCATCGGACCCCTCTTCCCTCTCCCCTTCGCTACGCCCCTCTTCCTCCGTTTGACACTTGGCACCCACTCCACGGCTACGTAGACTTAAATCAACAGGTGAGATTCGACGGCTAGTACTTTTACGTGGAAACAGAGTAAGACTGGTACATTTCACAGCAATTCGACGCTCGACCGGTCAAAAGTCTGTGGTCAATTCAATAAAAAGCATAACAACAGCAAATTCTACAGGTTACCTGTGTCTGCACCAGGCGCTAACCGGTGCTCCTCTACCTAAAAAGGATGAAAAAGAATTAAGTAAAGAACAGACTTGAAACCATTACACTCGAATGGTGACTGTAGGCTTTCCAAAGAACGTGAAAGCAGAATTAAGTGAGTGACTTAATGGATGAATAAGTCATCCCTGCTTGAACTCATGTTTTAACCTTGTTGGTCAGTTTTGATTTGCTGGAAGTAACTCTTAATTATAGAAAATAATTGGATTCATCCAAATTATTACAGACAAGATATAAATTGTAAACACTCTTCAATGCAAAGTCCTGAATATGCCTGATTTTATCTTGACCTATTTAGAATGAATAGAAGAAGCATTGAATTTTGATCTTTGAAGAACTACTATAAGCATGTGTTTTAACTTTCAGGTTTTTTGACCACAAACTTAAAATGAGAGGTCTATCACGGACTACCAAGCTGCTCATAATTGTTGTTGTTGTAGCATGCTCAGCCCTTATATTGCTGAACATGTTTGAGTTAAATAATATAAAGGAAACAACTAAACCAGCGCAGTCAATAAAACCTAAAGTATTGAATCAACCAAAGTATGTTGTTTACACAAAAGATGTAAGTAAACAAATCTAAACTTAATTTTAGAATAATATTCATGGCATGACCTCATATTTTCTTCTTTTTTTTTTTAATCCTCACTTAGGGAAAGACAGGGCATCTGAAACATGTTTATAATGTTATGAGGAGGCTTGGGTACGAAGAAGCACAGATAGAAGAAAACTGGGATGTGCTTTGGTCCCATCCTTACCCATTTACGATTTTACCAGCTCTAAAACATCTTCAGCCTCACCAAAAGGTAGGAACAAAATGTATTCTACACAGTATATAAAATACAAGTTGTAATAATCAAAAAACTTACAATATGTAAAAATTTCTCACAGGTCAATCATTTTCCTGGATCTGGCTTCATAACAAATAAAGCAAACCTGGCTACCATGGACATCCCATACGTACCTAAAGCATTTCGCTTGCCCAAGGACAAGCAACTCCTATTTGAACATGTATGTTTGCCTTTGAAAAAAATATTACATCATCCATTATTTCTGCATAATTTAACTGTAATCTATTTCTTTTTTTTAATACCACTTCTTTTGTTTTAGGTTAAAAGAAATCCTAAGAAAGTATTTGTACAAAAATCCAACCACCATAGAGGAATTCAAATATCAAATGTTAATGAACTAGACCTTTCAGCAAATGGAACATTTGTCCAGGAATACGTTGATAGACCACTACTTGTGGATGGCTATAAATTTGATATAGGAGTTTACACCATCCTCACCTCAGTTGATCCATTACGTGTTTATATTTACAATGGAGATGTTCTTTTCAGGTGAGTAATTTAGGCAAAGAATAAACTAAGATAAGATTAACATATAATTAATTCCACTATACCCCATAGGTTTTGTCCAGAAAAATACCATCCATTTGATCCAAAAGTAGTTGACAAATATGTAATTGGAGATGATTATTTGCCTACATGGAAAGTCCCTTCCTTGAAAAAATATTTCACAGATGGAGGATTTTCTATGAAGGAGAGCTTTGATGCTTACATGAGAGAAATTGGTAAAGAACCAGAAAAGGTGTGGAAAGCAGTAAAATCAGCAATTCAAGAAGTGTATTTGAGAACTGAAATGTCCATACTGAATCTTTTAAGTCAGTATAAAACCAAACGCACTTTCTATGAAATGGTTCGATTTGATTTTGTGATAGATGAAGATCTCAATGTGTTTATTATGGAGGTAAGGAAATCCTGAAATAACACAAATGTGTAACAATTTCAAAAAAGATATTTCACTATTATTTCAAAACTTATTCTTCTGAACCCTTTTTATAGGCAAATATGTCACCAAATCTGTCATCCCAGCATTTCCCACCAAATTCAATTTTATATGAGCAGGTTCTATACAGCCTGTTAAGTCTTGTAGGTGTGGGTCAGAATGTTCATAAACAATCACTTTTAAGGTACAGTAGGTAGATAGTTCCTTGATTGGAATCAAGGAAGATAACTTTACTAACCCCATATGTAACCTTATCTTTGAATTGTCACAGGACAAAAGAGGATATCATTATGCAAGTAAACTCGAAACAAACTGGTGTCTACCCGGAAATATGTGGAACAAGATGTGAAACATGTATGGCTCCTGAATGCCAAATTTGCCAAAGATGTCTAACGGCTGACATGAAACATACTCTTGAGAGTGCATACTTGGAACATATTAACAGGCATGAATGCCGGCGAGTGTTTCCACCCCCAATGGTAAGTGTGTTAAAACAATACTCTGTCAAACAAGAATGCTCGATCATAATCATAAACATTTGTACTTACACAGACTCAGAAAGAGGCAGCACAGAACTACGTTTTGGATTCTTATAGCCCAGAAAATCAAATGATGTACCGTTGGTTCAAAGGGAAATGCTTACAAGATATATCATGGTGTGAATGAGCAAGGCCTCACGCCAGTTAACTGTGGTTCCTAATTGTTATTTTTTTTTTATAAAGAAACCTACTCCCAACCTGTAGCACATCAATGTTTTCCTTTACATTGTCTTTAGCCGAATCGAATAAAGCTCCAACAAAAGGAATGCAGGTAATAATTAGGTACGTTAGTATGTATTTACATTACTGAGCACCGTATATGGAATACCATATACTTTCCTGCCATTGACTGATTTAGTATAGACAGATTTTCGTGTCTATGTATGTGCCAAAAAAACAGTAGAATCCAATAAAATTGTTGATTTAATAAACCCTCTTTTTTCCCCTTAATTAGAATTTAAGACCAAAACAAAACTTAACCTACATCACCTTTTCATGACTGCTTTGTTTCATAGTTTTCCACCATCATGTCATTCAGGCCTAATTCTTCATTCTGATCATAGGTGCGATCATAGTGAGTTACACTCAGTGCTGGGTCAGGATCTGGAGCTGTGAGAGACTGAAAAATATTTTTTACATTACTTAGAGGCACTTTAATGAAGTAGTAAGTCAACACAAGCTCACAGCATGTTTTCCATACCTGTACATAGCTGTTTCCTGCCGGGTCATCTAACACCAATGTAACAGATTCTTTCCCTTCTAAAATGTCTTGAAATTTTTGGTGAAAATCAAGCAATTTCTTTTGAATCACAGGATCGGCACTGTCACTTAACATCACATCAGAGCTTAAAAGTTGGTTCTTCATAGCAGAAAGTATACCTTCTACAGTAGAGAATCTTCCCCCTAGAGCTGCAGGGCCTACTTCCACATCTAATTCAGGCACTGACAGAGAGCAGGTGTCAGACTGGTAAAAAGTAAGAAAAGTTAGAGATGGAAGAGTGATAGACTTCAAACAAGTAATTCATTTTAAGAGGGACTCAAAAAAAAAAGAAAAGAAGAAACTTACTTTTAGGACATCCCTTGAAAAATCCTCCTTGCTATGAACTTTAACTTCTATTTTCATACCTTGAGGCTGAATACCTCCACCACTCTTGACCTCATTAGTTCTTTCTCCACAGGTGTCACAATTAGTAGCCATTATCACAACTTCCTTAAAATAGGGGATATCTTAAAATATATTAAGGAAGACTACTCTAAATTGAGATTAATATTTGTTGTGTTCAATAGAGGATTTGACTGATAATACAACTGGTGGTAAAGATACTATATAGCAACAAAAGGATACTGGTTACTTTCATATTAGTCATGCACGGAGCTCTACACCGAGGGCAATTAGTCGGAAATTGAAGAACTTCTCCTTGCAATGTCTCTAAAGTAAATTCACCTTCTTTCAAGGGTTGCAAAATTCCATCTTCAGTCAAAGTTGTCTTTTCCTCCCCAGAGACCTAAAAATCACAAAGCAATAAACACTATTAGGATGAGATATGTTACTACTAAATGTAGAAACTCCTGACTGAATAATAATTTGAATTAACCTCAGCTTCACTATACAATCCTAAAGAATGGTTTTGTTCTGTAGTGCGATTGAAGTGAGTAATGGTGACTCCAGGATCTGTTTGTGGTGCATTAGGATTCTGAACAAAGGTGTTACCACTAATATCTTCAAAAACCTGAGAGAAACAATCCAAAGAGTAACATCTGGAGATTTCTTACAAAAATCAACTAATTCAAAACCTACCATGGAAAAGGGTGTTTCTAACTCTTTTAATTTAACAAGTTTCTGTAGGAATTCATCTATTTGAGCTGCTGCTTCAGGATGTTCTTTCCTACGAACGACTTGATCCTGCTCAAGGCCCTGAACACTGCGGTCCAAAACTCCTTCGATAGTTGTTACCTCTTCCAGAAGAAAGTAGCACAAGTAGTCATTAAGAAGAGTCCATCAAATGGAGTGTCAGTTTAAAGCAGAAAAAGTTGTATTACATACCTCCTTTCTGAGAAAAAGCTGGAATTTCAAGCTGAACTTCAGGTACACAAACTGAAGTTGAATCTGATTTGACAACTTGACGATTTAAGTCAGTTGTTGATGCAATCTTTAGAGTTATTCTTACACCCTTTTCCTGGATCTGACCTCCAGGTTGAATTTCATTGTTGCTAAATCCACAGTGCTCGCAGTAAAATGACATGAGAACAACTTCCTTGTAGAATGGAATCTTCGTAAGAAGCAGCCTAGTGATGCCCTAGAAAAACGAATTCACTCATGTAAAAAAACAAAGACGATATTTCTAAGCAAGGAAAAATAAACAAGAGCCATAAATGGATTCTCAGGCGAAGAAAAGGCAAATGTTTATGGAACGAGTGCAAACGGGTTGTGCTCCTCCTTGTAATGGTAAGGTTAGAAATAATGGATAACATATTTTAACTAAAACGTACATTTTCACCGCAGTTCAAACACAGACTCTCAATTTCTGTCGTCTCAGGGTCAGGATCATCAGCATTAATGTCACGAAAGAGAGGCTTTTTTACTGATTCGCCCATTATGTTGTAGAGATCACAGCAGAACACATTGAGCACTTGAGCACATCAGAGGAGCACATGCAACCGGTTGGTGCGAATAGCGATCGCGTTACCTGCCCCAAACTCTCTTTATGGTGCACACAACGCAAGGAAAGTTATATGCCCTGCGACCCGCCACCTCTTGGTGCGGACAAAACTTACGCACCACACCTCACCAAACCCTCGCCGGCCGCTTGTAGCACAAACCGCAATTCATTTCACCTTTCATTGTGAGCAAAATTTAAGTTGATATTTTTTTGCGTCCACAGAGCGAGGCGCGAGCGGCGTCGTTCGGCCAAACCAAGTCCGGGACTCCCCTCGTTGCACGGCGGGAGACGCGTTTCCTAGCTGGGGAACATGTAACAAAAACGCGATACATTCGCATCAATTTACTCTGGTGAATTACGCGCACCAGCTCGCCGCGATACGCATTGCCATAGCTCCACGACAACCGCGGTCATTAGAGTTTCGGGGCTGGGGCTGCGACCCATATCCTCAGTTTAAGCCGAGGATTAACTGGGTGCTCCCACAGTGAATAAACGTTCACCGAGGTGATGCGGGGTAAAATTAGGCGACACACGCTCTCGCACCCTAGAGTCGCGGGCGCTGGGCGGGCGGGCCACCGTCTTCACACAGCTGCTTGGCGGGCTGGCCTACCCAGCGCGCAGCAGGCGCCATCAGAGCCTTATCAAAAGCATCGCCTCGTGTGACGTTCGTTATTTATTGTATTAAGTACCCCCCTTCGAGTAACAACGCTGGCTAGTAATACCAAAAAATTAGCTCAACTATTAACATCTTCATCTTTTATCCTTTTCATTCCTACTAATTCCAGGTTGTGGGTTGTGACGTCACCCCCGCCTCCCCCTCTCCCCCTTCCTCCCTCCCCGTACAGAGGGCGTACTTGACTTTGTACGTATGATAAAGTTGAGGTTAAGAAGAGCGGCAACTGCTGTATTTATTTTGCTTTTTCACCTAATAGATGTCCCAAACTAGCATTAACTTCGGAGTTGGGAAACTTAGCAGTACTCATCTCATTCACCCCTACTTTCTTTGACAAACGTCGAAGGAGTTAAATACGCAGATTTGTTTTTGCTCAAGACGAAAGGGATCATTAAAGTCTTGACTCAGGTTTGCCGTAGATTTACGACCATGAATTTTGTGACGGTATTTCACTGAAGGGTATTCTCTTTTAATTTATCGGTCGCAGTCAATCAACTCATCTGTATTGTGGTTTGTAGCTCCATTTCGCGAGTGAACTGTCATATTTGTTGACGTTTTAGTTGTTTTCTTCAAGGTTTGTTTGTACTTGTGTTTTGCAGTCTGAAGTACCTATGGGGAGAGTCATGATGTTTCGTTACGTGAATAACCCCCGGCGGCTGTTTTTCTTCGTGATTGTATCCTTTTGTTTGTATGGAGTCTTTCAAATAATTCGAACAGTCATGGATAACAGTTTAGAAGATCTTGATCGAGCACAACAGCTGTAAGTTCTTGCAATTTCTACCTTTCATAATTAGAACTCTGCATATTGCTTGGTTTACACTGTCTTTTATCTTATTATTATCATTTTGCAGAAAAGAGATGTTAGGAGAATTCAGCCGTGCAGTGAAGATGGACGTTAAGTAAGATTCATGGACACTTGACGTCTGAGTATTTCCTTATATTCTTTCTTGGGGTCTCATTCCTGATTTTCTCCCTTCCAGAAACGTTGGACAAGTGTGTAGACATCCAGTTTTGCCAGTGCATGCTCCAGAAATGATGAAATTTATCAAAGATATTGATAAATTCCATTGTGATTCTGAAAAAGATTGGGTGGAAGTTAATGGATCAACAGCTTTTATAACCGATGAAGCTAAAACTTTACATGGGGAAATTGAATGTACCTTCACAGGTAAGTGTATACATAAATCTATTCATAAGTGTATTCGTAAGTAAATATCTGGTTTATATTTTATATAATCAATCTATTACCTTCATTAATTTGATAGACATTCATCGAAACAATGAATACACCACTGGTGATGGACTGACAACGTCAACCCACCATCAATATAATCTTGAAGCGAGTGATTTTGTGAAGGTTTACTGCAAATCTGAAAGTGGAAATTAGTAAGTTCTCTATCAAGAAATAATTTCATATAACTAGTCTAAATAAACTGTTTTATTATACTTTTATATAAAGTAGTTGTGCCTGTGTTTATCCTAGGTGCTATTTTCCTTCATGCTTAACAATTTTGGTAACTTTGTTTCCCTTCTTCAGCTGGAACAGTATTTTGGCTGGCATTCGCCATGGCGAGGAGATAGTAGATCGCATTGGATGGGATCAAGTACCTGCTGATGGCCTAGGTCTGAGTGTTGTCATGTGGGGTATGGATTCCATCTCTAGGAACAATTTCATTCGGAAACTACCACGGACACACAAGTTTCTCACGGAAACTTTAGGTGCTCTTGTCCTTGAGGGTTATAATATTGTAGGGGATGGAACACCTCAAGCCCTTATCCCAATTTTAACAGGTTTGTTTAATTGTTCTTTTGACTGTAAAAATCAAACAAATTTTATACTTGATATTTTCATTACTATCTCTTTCTGTCACTTTTTTAGGGTCAACTGAGTTAGAGCTCCCAGAAACAAGGAAGAGGAAAGGATCAAGGGCAACATATGTAGATGCGTACCCATTTATTTGGAACGATTTTAAGTCAAATGGTTATGTGACAGGTAAGAAAATGTTATTCATCAATTATTTTTTATCTGTCTATACCTTGATTTCACATTCAGTGTGTTCTGTTGAACTTTAATCAGTGTAGCTAGAGAGCCGTGAAGTTTATTGCAAATCACAATTTTTAATGTTATCACTAGGCTCAATTTTTCAAATTAAATTTTAGGATATGTGGAAGATCAGCCAGAGATTGGGACTTTTACCTACCGCCTCAAAGGGTTCAATAAACCCCCTGTCGATCACTATGGAAGGTCGTTTTATTTGGCTGCTGAGTCTCATTGGCGAAATGAAAAGAAATGCCTTGGCTCCCAAGAATGCCACAAGGTAAAGCTCTTAGGTGTTTCTTTCTCTCTCTATTAAAAACATCATGTAAATGTGATGAGTCACTTGTAATTTTAATGCTCTACTTGTACCTAAATTTTTCTTTTGTTGTCACAGATAATGTTAGATTACACAAAAAATCTCATGTCAGTCTATCGAGACAAACCACACTTTATGTTATCTTTTCTTGCTCAATTATCTCATGATAATGTAAACCTTGTGGGGACTATGGATGAGGATCTCCATGCATGGCTCGTTAATGTTCATGAAAGAGGATTTCTGAACAATACTCTTCTAATAGTATTCAGTGATCATGGGCCTAGGTAAAAGAAATGTACCTCATCTCCATTTTTAAATGGAAGTTCAATGACATACTCTGTTGGTTTTATGAACAAATATTTTCTTCTCCCAGGTTTGCAGACATTCGTCAGACGATTCAAGGAAAGCAGGAAGAGAGACTCCCATTCTTTTCTTTCACTTTTCCTCCATGGTTTAAACAAAAACATCCTGAGGCTTATTCAAATTTTGTTGCTAATACAAAGCGGTTATCTTCGCCGTTTGATATCTATGCTACTCTCAAGCATGTCATTCACTTCCCATCCAAATTAGAAGAGAATGATTTGAAGAATCGAAGTATGAGTCTTTTCAACAAGGTACACTTCAGAATTTAGTTTTAACTTCTATAGTAGTAGCAAGTTTGCTAATACAACTTCTATAGTTCTTAACCATTTTTTTCTAATAATTTTCAAGATTCCTCTTGCAAGATCATGTGCCCATGCACATATTGAAGCACATTGGTGTGCATGCCTTGATTGGGATGTAGTAAACCATAATGATCGTGTCATACAGGAAGGTGCCAATGAATTTGTCAGGTTCCTAAACAAGTTAGTAAACATAAACTGGGATTTTAGCTATCATACTTAAGATTGTATTGCACCAATTAGACCAACTTATCTGTCTTTTTTATCCTTTGTGTTTTTTTTCATGTCAGCTTTACCCAACCACAGAGGAAATTGTGTGCCGACCTTTCATTGGATGAAATAATTTGGTCCGCAAGATTACGCCCAAATCAAAAACTTTTAGCCTTTCATCATTCGTCTGACCCTGATGGTTTCAAGCCTGATTTATCTGGTTCTCAGCGAGCCAACACTGAAATGTTACAGATCAAGCTAAGAACTAAACCAGGAAATGGACTATATGAAGTGTCAATGTCCCATAACTTAGTAACTGGATATTACACCATTAGGGTAAATATTTCTTTAAATAACAGTAGATTACCTAAGGATTACTAACAAGTTGTATTTTAAACTGCCGGTTTGGTTTCAGATTCAAGACGTTAGTCGCATCAACAAATACGGATCAGCAGCCCATTGCATTATGCAGACAAATCAAGACCTAAGAAAGTACTGTTTCTGTAAGGATCCTCCAGCCACGTTTTAAATTGTCTAGTTGTAGCTTTAAATCCACATATCTCGCTAACTTTTCCAAGTAAAAAGACAAATTGAAGTAGCTCACTTGAATTTACTATCTTGTGAGTGGATAAGCTGTTTAAAATGCATCATCTTCATAAATGTTCTTCTTAGTTTATAATCTGGATAAATTAAGACATCTATATGCTGGGTGAGTTGAAGAAATAACTTTTTAAAGCAATCTACAAAGGCAAACCTGTCCTGTATCATATTTACGCAATTATTAGCTCACCTTTCCTTTTTTATAATTTTTGTGGCTTTGGAACGTGGGTGTTCTTTCCATGTAATCAAGGTACGTTTCTGCAGAAGTTCTTTCCTATGGGTCCTCTTTCCTTCACTTTTGTGCTGCACGTGTGCTGCCATGTATTCTTTAAATTCTGATTCGCACCCTTTCTTTCAAAATTGTAACCATATAATTTCTTTTTGTAAAATTCGGATTGTGGCTCAGAATTGAGAATTGGGTACCCATTTAGTTGGGGTCTCACATGAGTCTTTCTTATGACTCCTGTAAAATTTGGGGTGTGACTTAAAATAGTATAATTGCGATATTGTGGAAATAAATGTTTCACATGTGAGTTGCAGTGTAGGTTTCAAAAGAAAGAAGCCTCTCTGTTACTTAATTGAAAACCAACAGTTTTAGAAGAGTACAATGTTGAATATTTGTTGAAATAACTAAAAAATTAGTAAGTTACACACTGATTAAAAGGGGCTCTTTAGTTTGTCTGTGATCTTGAAGTTAAATACTACTTCAAAGCTGTGTATGTTACAGATTATATGCATACTTTCATTCAATGACTTTGAATGTACTCAAGCAGTGGCGTTGTAGGTAGAGTTCCCTTCTATACCTCAAGTTATTGATGCTCTGCTACCGTAATGCAGAGATCTTGGTTATCAACAGCACTAGTCATAATGAACAAGAGACACAGACTTGTGGGCAACATACACGAGTGTTTTTTTTCTTAAAGTGAGAGAGTGTGAATGACAACATAGTGGCTTGCAAGCCACAAAGCCGTGACCCCTGCTATAAATGTATTTCTGTGATTTGATAGATTCAGTAGTCATAGAGGATTTGTAATAGTACTTTAAAAATAAGTATTTTTTATCTTTCAGGACCTTATGTATTTCAATTCTTAGCAGAATTTTGACGTAGTTAAATCTATCTGATTAAATATTGTTGAAAATGTATGTTACGGTAAGCATTATTATAAGAAAGAATCACACTTGTTGTAATTTCTCTTCTTAATTTCGTGATATATGCACTAAAGTGTAGCATTTAGTAGTAACGTAAGTATCGGTACTATTAAAATTAGGTACCTATCAAAGGGGTTTAGGATAGCTCTGCAAAGGCAAGTTTTATATTTGAGTGGAAGAAAACATGTCCTAGTATGCTTGTTGGTTGGTATGTCTGATCCATCAACTTTCACAGTATTTACTTGCCTATCATATTTATGAACCTCATCTGGTAGCTGCTCCTTAAAGATTGTTATCCTGTGAATAAAATTGAGAATTAAAGACTATAGTGGACATATTCTGAGAAACAAGTATGAAAACTAAGTTTATTATGACTTCAATAGATGTTACAGTATTGCAGTTGAAAAGTCCCTCTCTTGTCATGAGAAAGCAGTTTTAATAAATCTGACAGTGAGTTTGTTAATATTTTCAAGTACTTAATTGTCGTATTACATTTTCTATGTTAGATATCAAGTTAATTGCACTGTTAACGTTCCTGAAATGCCTTATTTGCCTTAATGCAGAAATAATCATTACAAAGTATTGTTCTAGGTTCTATAGGACAGAGTAAGTCCTATACCCAATTAGTCAAGGGATAGGGAACAAAAGCTGGTTCTGGTTTATTCAAGATTTGAGTGATGTCCAGTAACCACAGATAGTGATGTGCCTGTGATTGTCAAAATTCTAGCCATTACTTATATGCCCATCAATTCTTTAGTGTTAACATCCAGTTTAGGTCCTAATTAACTCTTTAAGTGTGGTATCCCAGAGAACACGAAAATGTCACAAATAGGTCATTCTCGGTCATTTGACGTCAAAATGACCGAGTTTTGGCCTAAATTTTGACCTTTCTTGTGACCAAATTAGTCCTTTTGATGTCAATATGACGTCCTCGTGAGTTTTTCGTGTTTATTGGGATACTGTATTTTGGGCAGTGTGCTCTGCAGAGCAGCCAAGAAGAATTTTGAAAGTAATTTATGTGTGCCAAGTACAACGTAGGTACCTCATTTCATTTCAAAATGATTATTCTAAATTCCATTAAATTCAGTTTCACATTTGGGACTAGCATTAACCTGTATTTTTATATTAGTATAATGCTGTAGAGTCATGTTGAGTAATAAATACACTGGGTAAAAATTGCCAATCCCAATTTAAGCCAGTGCTTGCTTTCAGAGCCTTGAAATTAAGGTTCAACCGTCTTGCAGATGAGCCTGCTAGCTTAAACACCTCACCATCAAGAATTTTTAATTTAAAAGTGTATTGTGCATTTTTTACTTGACGTGACTCCACTATGAAGTTTGCTTAGATCAAAATATTTTAAGAAGCCACAGATCAATGTAACTTTTGTCCAGTCATTTTCTTTTTTAATGCAAGATGTTTTCAAAAGCGTTGAGTTGATTGATTGTTCTCAGTTTTTGTTCAGTTAAATGCACATTGCTCCTCTCAGACTACGTAGCTATCAACTACTGTTTGTGGGACCAATCACTAGAGGAGTTGAGTTTATGTGATTTGCTATGTTTGAAGGACACACAATTACTGTAAAGGAAATATGTACATTAAAGAAACTTATAATGCATTTTATCTACATCATCAAGAGACTGAGTTTTGTGTCATGCCACGACTGCTAAGGTTCTGTGCTTATACCTGTATCATGTTACTGAAAATTTCATGCTCAAAATTATCCAAAGCTTATTCCCATTCTAGTCTTTGTGAAACTTATCAGCCATCTTTGTCAAACCTTGTAACATTTTTGGGGGAGTTGAGTTTGGTGCTGTTATATAGTGTCGACTTTGTACTGTAATGTGCTCCAGTGATTTGTCTTAAAATCATTTGTATTGTATGGTTCGGATATTTTTTCCGCTACCTCTGGTGATTTTTGTCACCATTTTGTGTGTGCTTGATCACATTATTGCAACATCATCTTTCAAGACAATTGCATTTTATGTAGACGTCTCTCTTAGCAATCATAATTTGTCCATATTGTTCAATAAAATTTTTATTGGACCCAAATGTGATTTATTTTCCCCCAAATTAAAAACAAATGAAAGAAATCCTTCCTGTTCTTTGAAAGCTTTTATTTCTCAGGTACATTTCTTTTCAAAAGTTGTAATCTACAGTCAAATCTGAAGTCCTCTTTTTGTGAATACTGTCACGGGTAAACTTCTTTTGGTCCTATTTGCCACGCCCACCCTGCACCTTCCCCTGCCAACAATTTCAGATCTCGCCTAAAGAGGGCGATGACATCACCTGAAGATGAGACTAGTGTATTCCTCCGTCGATAATCGGCTTTACAACCCTTCAATTTTGGTGGCAGACAAATAAAAAAAAATCTTTGACTGCAAAATTGTGTCTTCAGTTGAATTTTATCAAAAATCAAAGAATGTCCGAAAAAAATTAGCTAATACGGGAGCGCACTACTTTCTCGGGTGGGGTACTGCGCGCACGTAGGCAGCGCGTCGGTCGGTTTGTTTCTGCGGTATGGTTTGGGTTTGTCGTCTGTTTGGCTTGAATCTGAAGATTTCGACGAGGACGTCGTTTGTTTGTGTTCTGGACGTTTGCGAAACATTGCGCACGGTAAGTGTCAATTGAGGTAAATGTTGGAAGCTTTATCCTCTCATCTTTTTGTCTGTTACCCATTTCTGGAAGTTTGGGGCTAGGCCTACTCAGGTCACCATTGACCGGCAATGGGCGAGTTCCTGTTTGTACGAGTAAGCGGTTCTCATCAAGCCTTATTATACTGTTTTAATCTGGTATTAGAATAACTTGTCGTACTGGACAGTAAATTTTAATGTCCTATTTTCAAATTGTACTGTTCGTGCCATTCAGCCACGCAATGAAATAATCACTTAACCGCTTCAGAGCCCAACCCCCTTTTTTTGTTGGATTTTCTTCATTATGTATTTTGGACATTAAACTCAGTCGTTTGTTATTGTTCAGGATTTTCTATTTTATTATTATTAGTCTCTTTCATCATTCTAACTATTTCCTGCCGTGCATTGATTAACTATATAATGTTTACTGATTTTCCTAACCTACAATACTGCTTGGCATTTTTGTTTAAAGGGAAACAATAGTTATTGTTTTAAACTTAAAAAATTAAGCGTTGTTTTTCATTTTTTTTCTCATTTGTCTTGGGACTCAAGTTACCTCCAGTACTTCGGAATGTTTTTTTCTTGTTATGTTTGTTGTAGTTTTAATGTAGTAATATTGATGAGTTCTGATTTCAAATGTAATATCTATGAAAATATGCTTTTGTTTTGTGCTTGTTTGCGTGTAGGAAACGAAAGAAAACAAAAAACAGCTAATGCCTTGTATACGAGGATTTTCTTTCCTATATTGAGCATACATGCAAGGAAAATCGACCATCATTGTTCTTGCCAATGCTCAAATTTGTTTAGTTACAGATTCAGAAACCATAAACATTTCTCTGTATGTTTTCAAGAACTTTGTTCGTAGATCAATTAGCTACATTTGTTCTTTCCCCTACCTCTCTCTGTTTGTGTTTGTGGATGGTGAGAGGTCATGCTCACACCAAATATCTGCTGAAGGGTGTCAAGTTATCTCATTCCATTAACTGTTGTTAAGCCTACCTTCTCATTGTATCATTACCAACTATGATTGTGTTCTGTAATTTATCTTTCTTCCCCCTGTAGGTGCAAGGCTGGTGACCACTGGAGGGGGGCTGCATGTTTAGGGTGAGTAGTCAACACACAATTTTCCTAGTTAGGTTTTCTGACATTCCACTCCGTTGTAGGAATACTGGAAATGTTGGAAACAATATTCCATTGTTACACATGTTGAACCCCAGTGAACATGTGATCCCTCATGACCTGCTGCTTTTGCTGGTGCGTTACGCAAGCCCATTCATGTCATGTGCCCTTGTTGACTGCCCTTTGGTTTCTCCCTTCTTGGTGCTTGTAGGAGTAGAGGAGATAGGGGGCAACTGTCTTCTGAATCTTTAATGAGCCCTGCCTTGCGGCGCGCCGTATACTGTGGGCATCTCACAGGCCACTCCAGGGTTCAAGAACCCCCTCCAGGGCCCCTCCTCCCTACCACGCTACCCCTTTCGATGGCTGAGGTCGGTGACCCTTTCTCTGGGCATCCACTGGATATATGTGAGAGCGTAATAAAATAAAAGCCAACTGAAAACTTGCCTAAAGGTTGATCTATCCCCATACATCCGGACTAAATACATTCCTCGTGGAGACGAGGGTTCTCCTGGTTCTCCCTAAGGGCTGACCAGTGGCAGCGCGGCCCCTCCCACCCCTCGAGCTCATCAGGACCAGGGCGTGCCCAGTCGCGAGCCCGGGGACCTGGCCGCCACGCCCCCAGGGAGTGAAGTGGAAGTCACCTGCTTCTGGGCTGGGCGCGGCCCGCCGCCGGCCCTACGCCGCCGATCGCAGGGCGTCGATATCGCTTCGACTGCGAGCGCCTCTGGTCTGGTCCCTGCAGGGCTGCCGCAGGGGGGCGCTTCCCGGACGTCAGCTGATGGCTGTGACATCACTATCTCGCTCTGCGCGACAGTCTCGTATGCACCCCCCCCCCTGCCCCCTCAATCTCACCCCGTCACGCCACACCACGCCCATTTCGTGTGCTTCGTAAACTTCGTCAATCACTGGGTCAGACGGCAGCAGGCAGTCTACCCCTCCTAGGGGGGCGCCTCACCCACGGCCACCCCGCACATGGGCTGTCCTCAGCCTCTTATGAGCCGTGCGGGGCGCTTCGCCTGCTGACCTGCTGCGGGCCGACCAACACTAATGACACTCGGAGTGATATGAACCCGTGACACGACGGGCAGGCTGCCTGACGGCCTCGATGCGGGAGGGACTGGAGCCCG